TAAACATAATATCTGAATATCAGAAGCAAAGTTTTTTTGTAGTCTTCATGGATTTCCCTTTGACGAGGCTGTAGACCTGGGGGCTCGGAGCATACGTTGAGACGACGTGGAAGTTCTTCTAGTTTTATACTGTGATGAAGGAGCGTCCTGGGAAGCAGGTAAACTTCTAGATATAGCGGACTGCGTCCCACGCTTATCCCCCGAAGGTAACTCAGGATATATCTGACTCCGATCTATTAGCCATGACTGAAGATTGTTTCCGAGATTTATCTGCCTTCCGTCTCAAAACGGAACATAAATATTTATCAAAAGGCAGAAATTGGTAAATTAATATATAATTTACAACGAGAAACAATAGAACATGGAGTAATGCAACTAGGGCATTTTAAATGTGGATCGGTAGCAGAGTAACGTAATTTACAAACAGTGCAGATTTTTATTAACGCAAACTGCTGAGCAACACGGCGAACCATGAATCAAGCAGCAGAAACACGAATAATTATCAATGCATGTTGAATAATGATACTAGTTACACCTCTATAGATGAATATAAGAGGTAACAAACTAAATATAAATAAAGGATATAGTGTGCAGGGAGACACAGGTGCTCTCACGTCTTGCTCACTGGGCGAAGAAGGAGAGAGTGAGGCACATGGGTTCAGGTGGCGCCCTCGTTCCCGCGCTTGTGGAAGGGAGGTAACTCGTGGTCAGTACTAATGAGTGATTTTTTATTGAAGGGAACTTCAATTGGGAGATACAAGTGTTCCACTAGGTTCGCCAGAAGAAGAAGACAAGCAAATAAACATGAGTCAGGATAAGGAAAAATTTCAAAGCTTCATCAACATGATAACAAAATGTAATTAAAAATGTCGAGATGCAATTAACATTCGAAAGTACCCATCACAAATATCGAACAATTTTAAACATTAAGTTATTTGCTTATTCAGGTCAAACCTCTTGTCCCAAGAGGTAAACGTGATCACAAGACTTACTGGGGTAAGACAAGGCTGAAAGATTTCATAAATGATTTCAAGATGAACTCAACTGGTCCGAATGTTTCAAAGATTGAGAAAGGACTGAAGAATGGATGGTTACAAAAGCTCAGCTGTCTCTGACTAGTTAAAATGGTAACACATACACTGCTGAAGAGGGACAATCAACAAAGTAGTGTCTTGTTTTGAGAATGTTATAACAGACTGGAGGGGAAAACATTCAAATTGTAGGACTCATTAAACAAGTAGGTGATACCCCTTATGTATGATATACATAGTCATCAGAGACTACAGATGGTCAGATAATGGCATTAGAAAAGTGGTGTTAAAAGTGACATTCAGCAGTTCAGCAATGTCCACATGAATGTTAGTTGTGTTATTCACTTTGTGCGTGAAATTCTGCAGAAATGTAGGAAGTGTTAGTTGTCAGCAGGAAGTCCATAACTGTCAAGTAAAGCTTAGATGCATGGCAGCCATAGGATAGAAGCAATGCTTCAATTATACTTACAGGTGTCACAGTTCAATGATGTAACACTAGCTTACAGGTGGTCATTGATGGTCATGTTCACTTGCAGTAAAGATAACAATGTTAACCTGCAGTGTGATGATAATGATGGCCTTATGATGTTGATGTTAACTTGCTGTAAAGATATAAATGTTAACCTGCAGTGTGATGATAATGATGGCCTTATGATGTTGTTAATTTGCAGTAAAGATAAAAATGTTAACCTGCAGTGTGATGATAATGATGGCCTTATGATGTTGATGTAACTTGCTGTAAAGATATAAATGTTAACCTGCAGTGTGATGATAATGATGGCCTTATGATGTTGATGTAACTTGCTGTAAAGATATAAATGTTAACCTGCAGTGTGATGATAATGATGACCTTAAGATGTTGATGTTAACTTGCTGTAAAGATATAAATGTTAACCTGCAGTGTGATGATAATAATGGCCTTATGATGTTGATGTTAACTTGCTGTAAAGATATAAATGTTAACCTGCAGTGTGATGATAATGATGGCCTTATGATGTTGATGTTAACTTGCTGTAAAGATATAAATGTTAAACTGCAGTGTGATGATAATGATGGCCTTATGATGTTGATGTTAACTTGCTGTAAAGATATAAATGTTAACCTGCAGTGTGATGATAATGATGGCCTTATGATGTTGATGTTAACTTGCTGTAAAGACATAAATGTTAACCTGCAGTGTGATGATAATGAAGGCCTTATTATGTTGATGTTAACCTGCAGTGTGATGATAATGATGGCCTTATGATGTTGATGTTAACTTGCTGTAAAGATATAAAATGTTAACCTGCAGTGTGATGATAATGATGGCCTTATGGTGTTGATGTTAACTTGCTGTAAAGATAGAAATGTTAACCAGCAGTGTGATGATAATGAAGGCGTTATGTTGATGGTAACTTGCTGTAAAGATATAAATGTTAACCTGCAGTGTGATGATAATGAATGCCTTATGATGTTGATGTTAACTTGCTGTAAAGATATAAATGTTAAACTGCAGTGTGATGATAATGATGGCCTTATGATGTTGATGTTAACTTGCTGTAAAGATATAAATGTTAACCTGCAGTGTGATGATAATGATGGCCTTATGATGTTGATGTTAACTTGCTGTAAAGACATAAATGTTAACCTGCAGTGTGATGATAATGAAGGCCTTATTATGTTGATGTTAACCTGCAGTGTGATGATAATGATGGCCTTATGATTTTGATGTTAACTTGCTATAAAGATATAAATGTTAACCTGCAGTGTGATGATAATGATGGCCTTATGGTGTTGATGTTAACTTGCTGTAAAGATAGAAATGTTAACCTGCAGTGTGATGATAATGAAGGCGTATGATGTTGATGTTAACTTGCTGTAAAGATATAAATGTTAACCTGCAGTGTGATGATAATGTAGGCCTTATGATGTTGATGTTAACTTTCTGTAAAGATATAAATGTTAACCTGCAGTGTGATGATAATGAAGGCCTTATGATGTTGATGTTAACTTGCTGTAAAGATATAAATGTTAACCTACAGTGTGATGATAATGATGGCCTTATGATGTTGATGTTAACTTGCTGTAAAGATATAAATGTTAACCTGCAGTGTGATGATAATGATGGCCTTATGGTGTTGATGTTAACTTGCTGTAAAGATAGAAATGTTAACCAGCAGTGTGATGATAATGAAGGCCTTATGTTGATGTTAACTTGCTGTAAAGATATAAATGTTAACCTGCAGTGTGATGATAATGATGGCCTTATGATGTTGATGTTAACTTGCTGTAAAGATATAAATGTTAACCTGCAGTGTGATGATAATGATGACCTTATTATGTTGATGTTAACTTGCTGTAAAGATATAATTGTTAACCTGCAGTGTGATGATAATGAAGGCCTTATTATGTTGATGGTAACTTGCAGTAAAGATATAAATGTTAAACTGCAGTGTGATGATAATGTAGGCCTTATGATGTTGATGTTAACTTTCTGTAAAGATATAAATGTTAACCTGCAGTGTGATGATAATGATGGCCTTATGATGTTTATGTTAACTTGCTGTAAAGATATAAATGTTAACCTGCAGTGTGATGATAATGAAGGCCTATGGTGTATTATGTTAATGTTAACTGATGTGATGTGTGATGATAATGAGGCAGATGTTGATTTAACTGGTGTTGATGTTAACTTGCCGTAAAGATATAAATGTTTACCTGCAGTGTGATGATAATGATGGCCTTATGATGTTGATGTTAACTTGCTGTAAAGATATAAATGTTAAACTGCAGTGTGATGATAATGAAGGCCTTATGATGTTGATGTTAACTTGCTGTAAAGATATAAATGTTAACCTGCAGTGTGATGATAATGAAGGCCTTATGATGTTGATGTTAACTTGCTGTAAAGATATAAATGTTAACCTGCAGTGTGATGATAATGAAGGCCTTATTATGTTGATGTTAACCTGCAGTGTGATGATAATGATGGCCTTATGATGTTGATGTTAACTTGCTGTAAAGATATAAATGTTAACCTGCAGTGTGATGATAATGATGGCCTTATGGTGTTGATGTTAACTTGCTGTAAAGATAGAAATGTTAACCAGCAGTGTGATGATAATGAAGGCCTTATGTTGATGTTAACTTGCTGTAAAGATATAAATGTTAACCTGCAGTGTGATGATAATGATGGCCTTATGATGTTGATGTTAACTTGCTGTAAAGATATAAATGTTAAACTGCAGTGTGATGATAATGATGGCCTTATGATGTTGATGTTAACTTGCTGTAAAGATATAAATATTAACCTGCAGTGTGATGATAATAATGACCTTATGATGTTTATGTTAACTTGCTGTAAAGATATAAATGTTAACCTGCAGTGTGATGATAATGAAGGCCTTATGATGTTGATGTTAACTTGCTGTAAAGATATAAATGTTAACCTGCAGTGTGATGATAATGAAGGCCTTATTATGTTGATGTTAACTTGCTGTAAAGATATAAATGTTAACCTGCAGTGTGATGATAATGAAGGCCTTATGATGTTGATGTTAACTTGCTGTAAAGATATAAATGTTAACCAGCAGTGTGATGATAATGATGGCCTTATGATGTTGATGTTAACTTGCTGTAAAGATATAAATGTTAACCTGCAGTGTGATGATAATGAAAACCTTATTATGTTGATGTTAACTTGCTGTGTGATGATAATGTAGGCTTTGTTAATGTAGGCCTTGCGATGTTGATGATGTTAACCTACAGTAACGATCAGAACCATACAGTGATGAGCACCATGACGTGCAGCTGTGATGACATCGAGACCTGCGGCAGTGATGAGAACGATGGCCTGGCATATTAATGACAAACACAAACCTGCACCAATGATGTGAATGTTACTATCTATCTGTCACACACAGACCTCCACATCAGCCACTAACTGCCCCCCGTTGCAGCAAGACTAGTCAGCAGGGCAGGGGTACTTACAGGGAGGAACACAGCATTGATGTAGTCAGTACAGTTGTCAACAGGCGTGTACAGGAAAGGGCGACACCGATTGGCTAAAAAAAGAGGCACTCAGGGTGAAGGGCAAGCAAGTCACACCATTCCAAAGTGGTAAGTATCAAACTGGGAAGGTGAAAATATTAATAGGAACTTTAGGTAATCATAACTCCATTCAAAACGTTCATTTCAAGCACCAGTAGGGATGTCATCGCACGTCAAGATGTTGATTGATCAGTGAATGTATACTGCAGATACTGCATCAATACAAATGTCTGAATATTGATACTATATTAAACGATTACTCCCGCAGAAACGTTTACAATTATAAAGATTACGACTTGTTCAGATCAACATTTAGAAGTCACAAAAATCCACTTTAACCATATAATGGATCAGCCTTGTTTACATCTGGATTTGAACTGCAGGCCCATATTGGCCACTTTTACCAAAACACATACAGAAGAATAAATCTTGTTATTATGAATATATTGTGACACATCTGAGATGTATCAATAATTTCTGATCAATGACACCCCTAAGCAACAGACAACCCTTGTTCATACAAACCTCCTATAGGAATACAAGCACAATAGACTTACGCCTCTTAAGATATTTCTCATTGATTATTATCTTGGATGTCATTTATGCTTTTATTCCAAGTGATTTAATACAAACTTATTTATGCTTTGTTGTTTAACTTTTACATTCAGAGAAGAAACTCATAAAGAAATGCTATGGCTTACAGTAAATATCATGTAACTGAATGTTTAACATCCGTGGAAGCAAACATGTTGTGGTTTTTTTTAAAGTTTTACATCCAGAGAAGAAACTCGTAAAGAAAAGCTATGGCTTAAAGTAAATGTAATATAACTGAATGTTTAAAGTCTGTGGAAGCCACACAACTGTTGAAGCACAATGCTGAGGCAGACCAGGCTGTGACTCAAGCATCAAGCTATCACTTGTGCCAATACAAGCATGGCCTCATTCATTCACAACTTACATTGAGAAAAACAGATGGAGCGTTGCGAATGACTGAGAAAGTGAAGAATTCAAAGTCAAGAGATTTCATAACATGCTAAGATTAAAGAACACCCTGAAAATCAAACTGATTAAAGTTTCATGTTTTTAAATCAACACTCTTGAAGGATTATTGTTTGAACCCATAACGAGAAAGTACATGCAACTTTTCATCAAAATCAACCATGCAGACTGAAAAAAAAAGTAAATTGTTTCAATAGCAGCCAAAATACCATGCTCTGGAACTGAAGTGATATCTTCGCCCATAGCTTCTCATAAGTTATTGATAAAGACTAACGATAATGTAGTGCTTTATCTCAATCACGGCACGGCACAGCGGACTATGGCAAGCTCGTGCGAGGAAAGCCTCAAGTGACTTAAGTTGAATACAGTTATGACTTCACTGACCCCATGAAAATGGGCAGCTGCTGACTAAGGATCAAACTGGGGCAAATCTGACAAAGATTCAGCACAACTCTGCCACCTCATCTCGACATCAATACAATAACACTGAAGTAGCTGAAGAAGTCAATCCACTCTTGTCTGACCTGGCAATATGTTCTTGAATCGGTTCTTGTTCATGTTCTCCTCGGCGTAGGCTGCAGAGCACTCACTTCTTTCCACTGTGGGGGACAGGGTCTGTAGCACCTGAAGGAAGAGGTGGTCAGTCACAAAACACACGGGGCAAAATACATCAAGGCTAAAATCTGCTCCACCATGTTGTAAGTTGACTCATGACAGTTCTTAGTACTGTGTGCACACAATGTGAAATCATATTGAACCTGTGTAGACAGGCTTCAATTAGGAGATAAACAACTGGCCAACACAGGATGTTTATCGACATTGTAAACACAAAAGTAACCCAAAAGGCCCACATGGGTTTTACTGTCTGCACTCATTGACATCGAATACGGGTACAGCAGTGAAGTGTCATCAGCAGGCCGTTTCAACTGGTTCCCATGGTAGCATCTGGGAACTGCTCATTTGTGATGTCATTCCGACTTTACGTCACAATATGATTTGAATGACATCACCACTGCTGACGACGCAACAATACAATTGTGTGTGATATCTGTACATGTCAATACGCAGTGAATAGTCTTGTAATATCCGTGAATCGAATACCATTCGATCATGTTTTTCAACCAATCAGATTAAAGAACACGGTGACTTTTGGTTTACAGTGTAGTAATGTCCCTTGATTCATCATCACACATTGGTCAAATCAAGGGTGTCTGTCAGTAACTGAAGGCCTGGCTTTTAAGCCCTGAATATATCCTTTTCCTGCTCTGCATACTCGATCTCTACCATGGCAGATATTTTAAATCATATAAGCAGCAAACATGCCACCCACAACTGAGTTAAGGACTGCCCAGTTCTTTAGTTAACCGGTCATATTACTTTAGTTGATATGTCTTGGAACTATAGAAACATGAGAGAAATATAGAAACATGAGAGAAATCGGTGATCTTTGTTTTGAGTAGTTTACTACTATTATTGCCCTTCGTATACTATAATACATAGAGATTATTACACAAGCAAGTGTGTCATACTACTTACATGAATTGAATGTGAAAATTTGTACTGCATAATACATAATTTTGCATGAGTTGCATGTATAATTCACATGACACATTTGCTTGAGTGTAATATTGGAAATTTTAATCTATAAATGGTATATTATTATACTTGTCGTATCTCACGACAATTTTGCACCATTTTATTCATGTACAGTTGTGCAGTAAAACACGGTAAGCAAGTATGACAGTCCCTGGATGTTATATGTGAGTTTACTGATAATGATGCAATACAATTTTACACACAGTATTTCAAGCACACACAACATCATGACCTGCAAATATGTCATGACAAATCATGTGTGCTCTGATACAGTATTGGGATAAACATTGTTGGCATATTTCCATCTTTCTGTTTAAGGTGAACACATAAATATCAACTTTAAAACTTGACAAGACTATTTCTAGTAATGAGGATCAAGTTTACCTGGTACTGTTCCTCTAGTTTATTGGGCTCCCCCTCTGTAGCTGAACTCAGCATATTTTGGTATGTAGAGCGGAATGCAGACTTCGCAATAGTTGTCTCCCCTGATTTGACGGCCTCAAGCACAGCATCATACACAAATGCATATTGTTCCTGGAATATTGAGAATCACACATTTATTATTATGTCTTGATTCAGTCTTTACAAATGACTAAAGAATATTCAGAATAATAACATCATTTTAAAGAAAATATTATTGATATTTTCTTGTCACTGAGTGAGTGAGTGAGTGAGTGAGTGAGTGAGTGAGTGAGTGAGTGAGTGAGTGAGTTTAGTTTTACGCCGCACTCAGCAATATTCCAGCTATATGGGGACGGTCTGTAAATAATCGAGTCTGGACCAGACAATCCAGTGACCAACAGCATGAGCATCGATCTGCGCACTTGGGAACCGATGACATGTGTCAACCAAGTCAGCAAGCCTGACCTCCTGATCCTGTTAGTCGCCTCTTAATTCAAGCAAAGTCGCCTTTTATGGCAAGCATGGGTTGCTGAAGACCTATTCTACCCCGGATCTTCATGGGTCTATTGTCACTGAGAATATCAATGTACAATACATGGCTAATTATTTGGTAACTCCCAAAGGCCCCCCAAACCTTGTAAGAGTGGAATCTCTGGATTATTTTAAGGGCTTTTCTCATGGTTTTCTTTCTCACTGTTCATTGTTTAACGCCACACTTCCAGCTATATGACTGTGGTCTGTAATCAAATCTACGGAGATAATCCAGTCGTTGATTTGTGAGAACCAATCTTCACCACTGGTGTAAGAAGACAAGCGAGGCCTGATTATATTAGTCACTTGAGCAAGGCCTTTGTCAGGCTATACTTACCCATGTCTGGATCATGTTGACACGGTTGGTCCTCATCAGCTGGGCTATACACAGGACGTCCACTTGGTCCTCTGACTGGGCCTGTTCCAACAGGTAGTCAAGGGCTATGTAGGTCCCAGTACGGCCAATCCCAGCACTGAAATACAGCAGATCAGTTCAGGTTTAATACACAGCCAACACAGAAATACAGGATATCAGTTCTGGTTTTATATACACCCAGCACTGCAATACAGAAAATCAATTCAGGTTTTATGTACACCCTATCAGTTCAATATTGGAACATGCAGAAATGGAGACATCTATGATCAAATCATGCTTCACATGGAATTTCCATCAATATGAACAACATTTGTCAAGTAGATCCTTCAGAATCAAACATTGGCAACAAAAATTCCAGGACTTTATGAGGATGCAACTTTGGGAGTCTCACAGAATTCTCTGACGTGTTTCTGACGTGAAATGGTATGGGAAGTCCTCAGATCAGTGTGTAGCTATACAAAACACTAGGATCTGATCTTAATGCCACAGATATCTTGACTACGTGACATACACAATTTTTTTTATACTCTAAGGATTTGGGAGGCAACAGGATTTTTGAATACACATCATCATATGACATCCTTCATGAATTCAGCAACAATTTGAAGGAAACTTTTATTGAATTACATGTAACAACATATGAGCATCATGTTCCATAATTAATGGTATAAAATGTAAGCCAATATGAATGATTCCGCTTGACTAAAGCTGCTATTACCTGCAATGACAGAGGATGGGAGCGGAGGACTCCGGGTTGTACATCTGGACCTTCCGTCTGAAGGCCAGGAGGGTTGTGGGGTAGGTGGGTGCGCCGTGGTCTGACCATGTCGTGAAGTGAAACTGTTTCACAATACGGCTGATCTCCAGCTGAAACAGGCCAATATTACCAAGGTAAATACACACTTCCTGAGCGGCAGTTATTAGTGCCGTATAACTGATAATCCCAGAGCACTCAAATGTACAAATTATCTTTCAAATAATGAACAAAAAATCCATTGACAGGATACAAAATATTTCAGAACTGTGTTAATTAGAATTCAAGAAATAATTTAAGTAATCTTTCACGTATTTACTGCAGACAGTTGGCTGACCTGTGATATTTCAAACGTTCTGATGGTGTAGTCTGTGTACTTGGCAGTGTCCACTATCCTGACGGTCACCTCCCCGTACTTGATGCCGCCCTCCTCCGGCCAGTACTGCTCACATTTTTTCTGCACAAAAATAAAACCACAGGTTTTTGAACATTCTTTAGAAATTTATGCATACAAATAGTTGAGCTTAAAACATGATGACCTAAAAAGCACAAGGCCAAGCTGAAACCTGAATTGTCTTCAAAGAAATACACTCTATCAATACGTATACTATCAATAATTGTCACAGTACTTTACAGCATGTATTCAGCAAGTCTTGCCTTCACAGTAACATGCTCACTCTACAAGCCTCCATCAGGTCGTCCAACACCCATGAAGATCTGGGGAAGAACTGGTCTTCTGCAACCCATGCTTGTAGTAAGACTGACAGCTAACGGGATCGGTTGGCTGACTCACTGACTCCCTTGATGCACACCTTCATAGACCAGTTGTATCGATCCAGACTCAGGACATCCCATTATTCGTAGACAGTCAACATAAAACTGGACTTACCAACAAACAACCTGCTCCCCTTAAAGGCCACTACTAGGTTGTCTATGTCGTTCACTCACCTTACAAGCCTCTACTAGGTTGGTCAACATGACCACCTTGCACACTCTCTGCTGCCACACCATCCGCCAGAAGTCCCGAATCATGGCTTTGTTTGGTCCTTGAGATGCAATGTACTGATGCTGTTTGCTGTAGCCCTGCAACACAAAACATGCTATATCTTCAACAACAGTAACTTCACAAATTACATATAGCTAAAGTTTAGCAGGCCTTGACAATAAGTTCAGTGAATAATAATTATTTTTGCATTGATAATCCCTTTTATTATATCTTGGTTGTATTATTTTTCAATTTTCAAAGACAGCTTCAGCATTTACCTTTTAGAGGTATGTAGTGATTCAGGTAAAAGGGTAATAAAGCCTCTCTGTCCTTGGATTAATGAACAACCTCTGAACAAGACTACACCAACACCTTGTCAACCATAACCATATCTAACTAACACATTATTATTACCAACATTAAACTTCCTCCTCATCATTTCACCAGCAGCTTCCGACAATAAGGTTACTGTGTGTATATACCAGCTGCATACTTACATCCATGAAGTTTGCGTTGACGTAATCCGAGTTGGCTTCATTGGCCATGGGGTCTAAAGTAACTCTGGAATGATCATCTGCAACACATGAACACAAAGTCATATTGGTAGTCTCTCACCACATACCCAAAGAAGAACATACTTCAGTACATTGCTGTTGAGAATTGTTCCAACAATATCTGAACAGCAGACATGAACAAAGGCTATCACAAACGGAACTAACGTCATAAGGAGGAAATGTCCAGGATTTGTCTGGCCCCCAAGTCTGTGTCAGAGGTCACTAAACAGTCCACAAGTGGAATAAAAAAAATCCAAGTGCATGTAATTGAGGCTTTGACTTTGTATGGGTGATTTGTATTTTACTGATGACCAAACAAATAGAGGTAAAGACTTTTTGTTTAGGTTTTACACTACTGTTGTGGGCATGATGAATGCAGTGATAAAATACTATGTTAGAACACCTATGAATTCTACAACCTGACCGGTTAGCCTACATTACATGCACCTTCCATGTCCAGTGAAACAATACAGGCCTTCCTAACTCATACATGTGTTCAAATTACCCTCCTAAAACCCCATAAGCAAGCAACATTATACGTTGTTCACTGGTCACGAGGGGGACATAATTGATGTGCCCTCTATGTTTGTTTATGTTCCCTGAGCCCGAAGGGGACCATGGGCCCTGAGGGACCAGTGAACAACGTATTTATCTTACCGAACATCTCAGTGTTAATTTTGAACTGTTTGAAGCACGGGTATTGGATAATAACAAGGAGTACTGGAGTTTGGCAACAGCCAAAACACTACTAACACATAGTCCGGCATTTCCAGCGGTTAACATAGAAAATGTTACTCGCTTGTAGTAGTTGTAAGCAGGGAACATTGATTGGCTCAGCCAATCAGAAAACGACATTTATGTGTGTGGTAAGATAATTCTTGATTACACAATGCCATTTAGAAAGTGGTCAAATGTAAACATATGTTATATTTGGGATTACACTTTCTTAGTAGTGGTCAGTACAAATTCTAGTACTTTTTTTGATTTGAGCCCCATCCAGGATTCGAATCCCCCACCCTCAGAGTCAGGCACCTAATCGATAGCACACTCAATCGCCAGCACACAAAGTCAGAAGCCTAAGTCATTCTTAGTGTGAATTGATAAAGATGCTATAACATATGTTGCTAATTCTTAATGTGAATTGATAAAGATGCTACAGTGTTGCTGTCAACTTACATGCTACGATGTTTCCGTATCTATTCTTGGCCTTGTTATCAGCACGTCGGGCCACCTCACACAGAGCTAGCAGACCCATGGGGAGTTCCTGGAAACAGAGGCAGTCCATACTACGTGAGAACTCAATATCATCTTCATTCTAGTATAAAGTATGGACATTAAAGCTGGTCTGGAACTGGTCACATAGCTTACTGAAGTTGTTCAGTACCTGATTAACAGTCTCCAAATCAAAATACTCAAACCTCTACTTGCACAACTGTTCATACAGAACAATTAATTCTCTCAACCAAACATCCTTATAAGCATTCAATGTATCATGTCAAACTTGTATGGACATATTTTGAATCAGATTGACAGATCAGGAAGGCATGAGAGAATGTAAACAATCTTATTCATTTAGGTTTTAGGAAATGTGCACCGCATATGGAAGCCTTACTGTGATACGCAACAAGTAACAAATGTATGCTGCCTCGCTCTTATGACTTATATCATTTCACTGGTCCAATTGTAATCCTATGTGCAAATGAGATTTAATGTTCTTAGGGTGAGCGAGAGTTTAGTTTTACGCCACACTCAGCAAATATTCAAGCTGGATGGCGGGATCTGTAAATAACAAGCCTCCATCCACACAATTGGGATGTGATGACATGTGTCAACCAAGTCAGCAAGCCTCCAGCAATCCCATTGGTCACCTGACAAGCATGGGTTACTGATCCCGTTATGTTCTTAACACTATCATGACAAAGCTTGGTATTCGGTTAGAAGATCAATTCTAACCAGAATCTTCACGGGGTAGTGATGTTCTTAAACAAACAAGGACTGGTCGAACACTGGTTATGTTTCATGGTTATCTCAGTGAGCATATAAAAGCTTCAGCTGGGCTAGTACAAGCAGCCGCGACATACATATATTGCCACAGCATGCACGCCACTTAGCTACTATTCTAAGCACGTTTAAACACAATTTCACTGGTCACCAACTTAGTATTTTGTAAGATGGTTGATTTTGAAATACATTTGGTGTTGATCTTAATATTCAATAGTGTGTACATCTGACACTGAAGTGATTGTCATGGATATAGCACCAGCACATTATGTGATTTCCACTGCATGTAGACTTGTTGCAAATTGCAGAATCAGAGCCTTTTTAGAGACTGGATTCTGACAACATTAATATTGATAGTTTCATAAACATAACTGCAAATGACCTCTGACAATATTAAACCGAGGATAACAAGTACCACTTTGTACAAATTGAACAGGTTATCTCAGCTACGTTGACAGACTAGTACACAGAATCAGTGTATCAGCTCATCAAGCTGCCTAAAAGTTTCTGCCTGGAACATACATACCTCAAACTCCTGTTTAAACCCGAGACAGTTATTCTCCCTGTGTTTCTTGATGTAATCTGCAAGGTCCACCAGTTTCACGGGGCTTGTCTGTTTCTTGCTGTTAATGTTGACATATATCGGCTCATTGATCTCTTCGCCTCCTCCATTTTCATCTTGATCCAGCCTTGTAGCATCTCCGACCCGTGAGTCACTCAACAAGCGGGCACTCTCACTGTGTCCGTTATTCTCTGTATCCCTCGGGTCCAGGGGCAGGGGGTTGCTCACGTCCATACGCTTGTGGCGTCTCCGTCTGGAAGACACAGCATCAATTAGCATCTTACACCTATGTAGTTCATGGACATCTAATAAACTATTGACAACCTTTGAACTTTGCTAATCTGCTGGTTCCAGGCTACTAAATTGTGTTGAGAACATTTCAAAGCTTTGGTTCTAAACCAGTTCCTTTCAATGCATCAGTATGGCTAAAAATTGGAATTGGAAACAACTGGCACAAAATATAAGTAAAGTAAATACTTCTGACTTGCTCAAGCTGGACTAGCTACAGAGTTTATTATGTTGAAAGCTTACAAAATAATGTCAAGAAATACTGACAACACAAAATATACAGCCCGTGAAAATGCTTCCAAGTGGATTTAATCATTTAGAATATATCTGTCAGTAATAAAAAAAGACAAAAAGTTTCATGTACATCACAAGAAAAAAAAGAAAAGATATCTGAAACTAATTTCGTTTCCAAACACTTAACCCACATCTAGAAACATCCTGATCTCAGTTGACCACTTTCAAACAGTTGATTCTATACCATTTGTACATCTGGCTGTTTGTTTAAAGCTGCAACTGGCAATACTCAAGCTTTGTGCAAACAATGAAGTCTGGACCAAGCAATCTAGTGATAGACATTATAAGCAACATACCAGTCTGTCGGGTTATGATGACATGTTATTAACACAGCCTGACCAACTGACCAATCCCAACTGACCAATCAAGTTGTGTCTCAAGACCATGGGGTTGATTATTTGGTGGTATTATGAGAAAACATTAAGTACAGTATGTTTAAAGACATGAGTAAGAGAGAGTGTGATCATGCTCAACAAAACTTATCAACAGATTTATTTCTTGACAGTTAATTGGAGTGATTTTAGTTTTTCTCACTCGACAATATTCAAGCTATATGGCGGCAATCTTTAAATAATCAAGTCTGAACCAGACAATCCAGTGATCAACAGCATGAGCATCGATCTTCGCAATTGGGATATGATGACATGAGTCAACCAAGCCAACGAGCCTGACCACCCGATCCCGTTAGTCGTCTCTTACGACAAGCATGGGTTCCTGAAGATCTAACCCGACATTCACGGGTGACTATATGAAGACAAAGACATATCTAACCCGGATCTTCACGGTCAATTAATTGGTAGCTGGGCTGGGCTGGTCAGTTTGTATTGCCTCTTAACACTATCACAGTAGACCAAGAGTTACTGAAGATCTTGGCTCCTTCCATAATGCAATCTTAGTGCTAAGGCAATCCAAACTCAAATACTTTAACATTGGCTTGTGTTGGCCTCATGTGTAGAAGAAGCAACAGTCTCAATCCCTACCTGTAGACCACAAACACCACAACGATGATGATGGCGATGATAAGGAAGATGACAACAGCAGCGATGATCCCACCAGTTATCTTCCCTTCCTCTAGTGCCACGATTCCTACAACAAAGTTACAGAAATTGTTTTATTATCCATATGATTCACAGTAGGCAAGCCAGCCAATACACATGTATCAAGAGAGCCCATCACTAGTGGGCAAAAGTTTGTGTAAAGCATATGAATAATAATCATGTTAGAAAAATAATCAGCTTTAGACTTGTTGATTACATTTATGAGTGTACATTGAATTTACTGATCTCACCTTCAGCACACCTGTACCCGAGGAACCCATCACTACAGCCGTCCATACACTGGCCGGTTTTTGCAAGACATGGCTTCCCAAACTTGCAACTTCCACAAGCAAATGAACAGTTTTCTCCATACATTCCATCTTCACAGTCTGGAAATGAGAACAAATATTCTTGAGTTAATACGTCCACCTGAAGTTCTCTTATCATATACAGGTACAGAGAGGTTTACAATACCCTGCTTCTGTTCTTTCTAAAAACAATCATTAAAGAAAACTTCCAAATGTGAAAAGTTCTCGAAACTCCCATGGTAAAGGAACCAGATCAGCTACACATATGCATTCCAACAACAGGCCGATGACAGACAACATGGCGCCGATACTTTGTTACAACCTACCAGTGGTACAGTTGTCTCCCATTTTTCCAGCTTGACATCCACTGAGACATCGGCCGGTCACGGGGTCACACAGACAACATGGCACCAATACTATGTTACAACCTACCAGTGGTACAGTTGTCTCCCATTTTTCCAGCTTGACATCCACTGAGACACCGGCCGGTCACAGGGTCACACGTGGTGCCAGTCTTGCAGTAGCCACAGTTTACTTTGCAGTTCTTGCCATACATCCCCCAAGGACATTCTGAAATGAAAGATGCATGTGATGGTCACATTTGCATAGACCACATTCCCAGACAGAGTGATCATGTGTACAGGCATCGCCCACAGAGACACACGGTCTGTATATTGATCGTGTTTCACCTACTTTCATCACACTTGTATCCTATGTAGCCATTACTGCAGCCTCTAAAACAGATTCCAGTCTTCTTATTACAGGGCTCTCCATCTTTACACTGGCCACACTCTCCTTCACAGTTGCGGCCGTACCGTGAATCGGGACATTCTGAAACACAGGACATGAGTAGTCACCAAGGCTCCATGAATTCAGTCCTCAGTATCGTCTTACACATTACTGGCATAACACAATTACTTTCTCTACAGACATACACATTACTGCATAACATAATTACTTTCTCTACAGTCATACACATTACTGATATACTCACTATCTGTACAGTCCTACACATTACTGATATACTCACTATCTGTACAGTCCTACACATTACTGATATACTCACTATCTGTACAGTCCTACACATTACTGATATACTCACTTTCTGTACAGTCCTACACATTACTGATATACTCACTATCTGTACAGTCCTCCCACACATTACTGATATACTTTCACTATCTGTACAGTCCTACACATTACTGATATACTCACTCTCTGTACAGTCCTACACATTACTGATATACTCACTATCTGTACAGTCCTACACATTACTGATATACTCACTATCTGTACAGTCCTACACATTACTGATATACTCACTATCTGTACAGTCCTACACATTACTGATATACTCACTATCTGTACAGTCCTACACATTACTGATATACTCACTATCTGCACAGTCCTACACATTACTGATACACTCAACTATCTGCACAGTCCCTACACATACTGTCACTATCTGTACAGTCCTACATTACTGATATACTCACTATCTGTACAGTCCTACACATTACTGATATACTCACTATCTGTACAGTCCTACACATTACTGATATACTCACTATCTGTACAGTCCTACACATTACTGATATACTCACTATCTGTACAGTCCTACACATTACTGATATACTCACTATCTGTACAGTCCTACACATTACTGATATACTCACTATCTGTACAGTCCTACACATTACTGATATATATATCTGCGGTTCATCTGTACTGACACATTACTGATATACTCACTATCTGTACAGTCCCCTACACATTACTGATATACTCACTATCTGTACAGTCCTACACATTACTGATATACTCACTATCTGTACAGTCCTACACACATTACTGATATACTCACTATCTGTACGATGTCCTACACATTACTGATATACTCACTATCTGTACATTCCTACACATTACTGATATACTCACTATCTGTACAGTCCTACACATTACTGATATACTCACTATCTGTACAGTCCTACACATTACTGATATACTCACTATCTGTACAGTCCTACACATTACTGATATACTCACTATCTGTACTGCCCCACACATTACTGATATACTCACTATCTGTACAGTCCTACACATTACTGATATACTCACTATCTGTACAGTCCTACACATTACTGATATACTCACTATCTGTACAGTCCTACACATTACTGATATACTCACTATCTGTACATTCCTACACATTACTGATATACTCACTATCTGTACAGTCCTACACATTACTGATATACTCACTATCTGTACAGTCCTACACATTACTGATATACTCACTATCTGTACAGTCCTACACATTACTGATATACTATCTGTACAGATATACACATTACTGATATACTCACTATCTGTACAGTCCTACACATTACTGATATCACTATCTGTACAGTCCTACACATTACTGATATACTCACTATCTGTACAGTCCTACACATTACTGATATACTCACTATCTGTACAGTCCTACACATTACTGATATACTCACTATCTGTACTGCCCTACACATTACTGATATACTCACTATCTGTACATTCCTACACATTACTGATATACTCACTATCTGTACTGCCCTACACATTACTGATATACTCACTCTCTGTACATTCCTACACATTACTGATATACTCACTATCTGTACTGCCCTACACATTACTGATATACTCACTATCTGTACAGTCCTACACATTACTGATATACTATCTGTACTGCCCTACACATCTGATATACTCACTCTCTGTACATTCCTACACATTACTGATATACTCACTATCTGTACTGCCCTACACATTACTGATATACTCACTAACTGTACATTCCTACACATTACTGATATACTCACTATCTGTACTGCCCTACACATTACTGATATACTCACTATCTGTACAGTCCTACACATTACTGATATACTCACTATCTGTACAGTCCTACACATTACTGATATACTCACTATCTGTACAGTCCTACACATTACTGATATACTCACTATCTGTACAGTCCTACACATTACTGATATACTCACTATCTGTACAGTCCTACACATTACTGATATACTCACTATCTGTACAGTACCACACATTACTGATATACTATCTGTACAGCCCTACACATACTGATATACTCACTATCTGTACAGTCCTACACATTACTGATATACTCACTATCTGTACAGTCCTACACATTACTGATATACTCACTATCTGTACAGTCCTACACATTACTGATATACTCACTATCTGTACTCACCACATTACTGATATACTATCTGTACAGTCCTACACATTACTGATATACTCACTATCTGTACAGTAATGGCCACTGTACCCCTCCTCACAGTTTTTCTGACACTCTCCATACTCTGGGTCACATGACTTCTGGTAACAGTGGCCACACGTCTGGGCACAGTCCTGGCCATACTTGCCCTCTGGACACACTGTAAGAGTAGATAGGTGATCAAGATTCACTTCTTATATACACATACTTCTGACAGATTGAAGGGAGGGGGAAGATGGGAAATGGGAGGAGAATGTCAACCCTCCAGGTCCAAGTTTCCAGACATATATAAGTCAACTTCTGTGTGTGATTTTTATTCTTTTACTCATTGAAACATTAATTTTATGAATATCTCCACAGACTTACTTCTCTGACAGTTGAGTCCAGTCCATCCTGCTGCACAGCCAGATTTGCATGTTCCGAACAACTTGTCACACACCTCGTCTATAGTCCGGCAGTGACAAACAGATTTACAGCCAACACCAAAAAGACCATCTGGACAGTCTGTAGGACAAAAGACAACTTTCAATGAGGATTGCTTATTAAACAGTTTCAACACCGGAAATGGATGAACAAAATGGCGAACTTTTTCACGCTATAAAAGGGAAAGGATAAATTTTGCAGGAAATCATCATTGTATGAAAAAAACAACCCAGGTGATTGACACATTTCACAATGAATAAAAAAAACAATATTTCAGGGAATGCTCGCGACTGCACAAATCCCAATGATGTATTTTTAACAGGTTATAAAGCCAAAATAGTGCAATACATTGGCTTTTCCCTTTTTAGTGAAAAAGGAACCCTGGTCCCAGTAATGTTTGACATGCCTTGGTCCCAGTAACGCATGACATGCCCTGGTCCCAGTAACACATGACTTGCCCTGGTCCCAGTAACACATGACTAGCCCTGGTCCCAGTAACACATGACATGCCCTGGTCCCAGTAACACATGACTTGCCCTGGTCCCAGTAACACATGACATGCCCTGGTCCCAGTAACACATGACATGCCCTGGTCCCAGTAACACATGACTAGCCCTGGTCCCAGTAACACATGACATGCCCTGGTCCCAGTAACACATGACATGCCCTGGTCCCAGTAACACATGACATGCCCTGGTCCCAGTAACACCTGACATGCCCTGGTCCCAGTAACACATGACATGCCCTGATCACAGTAACACATGACATGCCCTGGTCCCAGTAACACATGACTAGCCCTGGTCCCAGTAACACATGACATGCCCTGGTCCCAGTAACACATGACATGCCCTGGTCCCAGTAACACATGACATGCCCTGGTCCCAGTAACACATGACTTGCTCTCGTCTCAGTAAGACATGAAATGCCCTGGCCCCAGTAATACATGACATGCCCTGGGCCCAGTAATATACGACATGCCCTGGGCCCAGTAATACATGACATGCCCTGGGCCCAGTAACGCTACACCTGCCCTACTTCAAGTATCGATCTGACTTACCCCTAGGCCCAGTATTACTTCAAAAATGATCATGAAACCAGTATCTCATGATTTTCCAAATACTTCATGTAATGCCCTGAATCCAGTACCCCAACACCCTGTGATACTTCAAGAAATGCCCTGAATCCAGTACCCCTACACCCTGTGATACTTGAAGAAATGCCCTGAATCCAGTACCCCTACACCCTGTGATACTTCAAGAAATGCCCTGAATCCAGTACCCCTACACCCTGTGATACTTCAAGAAATGCCCTGAATCCAGTAACCCCTTCACCCTGTGATACTTCAAGAAATGCCCTGAATCCAGTACCCCTACACCCTGTGATACTTCAAGAAATGCCCTGAATCCAGTACCCCTACACCCTGTGATACTTCAAGAAATGCCCTGAATCCAGTACCCCAACACCCTGTGATACTTCAAGAAATGCCCTGAATCCAGTACCCCAACACCCTGTGATACTGCAAGAAATGCCCTGAATCCAGTAACCCAACACCCTGTGATACTTTAAGAAATGCCCTGAATCCAGTAACCCAACACCCTGTGGTACTGCAAGAAATGCCCTGAATCCAGTAACCCCCTTGAACACCCTGTGATACTGCAAGAAATACCCTGAATCCAGTAACCCTACACCCTGTGATGCTTCAAGAAATGCCCTGAATCCAGTAACCCAAACACCCTGTGATACTTCAAGAAATGCCCTGAATCCAGTACCCCTACACCTGTGGTGCTGCAAGAAATGCCCTGAATCTAGTACCCCTACACCCTGTGGTACTGCTGCAAGAAATGCCCTGAATCGGTACCCCTACACCCTGTGGTACTTCAAGAAATGCCCTGAATCCAGTACCCCAACACCCTATGATACTTCAAGAAATGCCCTGAATCCAGTAACCCAACACCCTGTGATACTGCAAGAAATGCCCTGAATCCAGTGCCCCAACACCCTGTGATACTGCAAGAAATGCCCTGAATCCAGTACCCCTACACCCTGTGATACTGCAGAAATGCCCTGAATCCAGGTACCCCAACATCCTATGATGCTTCTCAAGAAATGCCCTGAATCCAGTTTCCTACACCCTGTGACGCTGCAAAATGCCCTGAATCAGTACCCCAACACCCTGTGGTACTGCAAGAAATGCCCTGAATCCAGTAACCCAACACCCATGTGATACTGCAAGAAATGCCCTGAATCCAGTACCCCTACACCCTGTGATACTTCAAGAAATGCTCTGAATCTAGTACCCCAACACCCTGTGGTACTGCAAGAAATGCCCTGAATTTAGTACCCCAACACCCTGTGGTACTGCAAGAAATGCCCTGAATCTAGTACCCCAACACCCTGTGGTACTGCAAGAAATGCCCTGAATCTAGTACCCCAACACCCTGTGGTACTGCAAGAAATGCCCTGAATCCAGTAACCCAACACCCTGTGATACTGCAAGAAATGCCCTGAATCCAGTACCCCAACATCCTATGATACTTCAAGAAATGCCCTGAATCCAGTTCCCCTACACCCTGTGACACTGCAAGAAATGCCCTGAATCCAGTACCCCAACATCCTATGATACTTCAAGAAATGCCCTGAATCCAGTTCCCCTACACCCTGTGACACTGCAAGAAATGCCCTGAATCCAGTACCCCAACACCCTGTGGTACTGCAAGAAATGCCCTGAATCCAGTAACCCAACACCCTGTGACACTGCAAGAAATGCCCTGAATCTAGTAACCCAACACCCTGTGGTACTGCAAGAAATGCCCTGAATCTAGTACCCCAACACCCTGTGGTACTGCAAGAAATGCCCTGAATCTAGTAACCCAACACCCTGTGGTACTGCAAGAAATGCCCTGAATCTAGTAACCCAACACCCTGTGGTACTGCAAGAAATGCCCTGAATCCAGTAACCCAACACCCTGTGATACTGCAAGAAATGCCCTGAATCCAGTAACCCAACACCCTGTGATACTGCAAGAAATGCCCTGAATCCAGTTCCCCTACACCCTGTGACACTGCAAGAAATGCCCTGAATCCAGTACCCCAACATCCTATGATACTTCAAGAAATGCCCTGAATCCAGTTCCCCTACACCCTGTGACACTGCAAGAAATGCCCTGAATCCATTTAGTACCCCAACATCCTATGATACTTCAAGAAATGCCTGAATCCAGTTCCCCTACACCCTGTGACACTGCAAGAAATGCCTGAATCCAGTACCCCAACACCCTGTGGTACTGCAAGAAATGCCCTGAATCCAGTAACCCAACACCCTGTGACACTGCAAAGAAATGCCCTGAATCTAGTAACCCAACACCTGTGGTACTGCAAGAAATGCCTGAATCTAGTACCCCAACACCCTGTGGTACTGCAAGAAATGCCCTGAATCTAGTAACCCAACACCCTGTGGTACTGCAAAGAAATGCCCTGAATCTAGTAACCCAACACCCTGTGGTACTGCAAGAAATGCCCTGAATCCAGTAACCCAACACCCTGTGATACTGCAAGAAATGCCCTGAATCCAGTAACCCAACACCCTGTGATACTGCAAGAAATGCCCTGAATCCAGTTCCCCTACACCCTGTGACACTGCAAGAAATGCCCTGAATCCAGTACCCCAACATCCTATGATACTTCAAGAAATGCCCTGAATCCAGTTCCCCTACACCCTGTGACACTGCAAGAAATGCCCTGAATCCAGTAACCCAACACCCTGTGGTACTGCAAGAAATGCCCTGAATCCAGTAACCCAACACCCTGTGGTACTGCAAGAAATGCCCTGAATCCAGTAACCCACACCCTGTGATACTGCAAGAAATGCCCTGAATCCAGTACCCTACACCTGTGGTGCTGCAAGAATGGCCCTGAATCCAGTACCCCTACACCCTGTGGTACTGCAAGAAATGCCCTGAATCCAGTACCCCTACACCCTGTGGTACTTCAAGAAATGCCCTGAATCCAGTACCCCAACACCCTATGATACTTCAAGGAATGCCCTGAATCCAGTAACCCAACACCTGTGATGCTGCAGAAAATGCCCTGAATCAGGTGCCCCAACACCCTGTGATACTGCAAGAAATGCCTGAATCAGTAACCCTACACCCTGTGATGCTGCAAAATGCCCTGAATCCATTGCCCCAACATCCTATGATGCTTCAAGAAATGCCCTGAATCAGTTCCCCTACACCTGTGACACTGCAGAAATGCCCTGGATCAGTACCCCAACACCTGTGGTACTTGCAACGAAATGCCCTGAATCCAGTAACCCAACACCCTGTGATACTGCAAGAAATGCCCTGAATCGTAGTACCCCTACACCTGTGATACTGCAAGAAATGCTCTGAATCTAGTACCCCAACACCCTGTGATACTGCAAGAAATGCCCTGAATCTAGTACCCCAACACCCTGTGACACTGCAAGAAATGCCCTGAATCCAGTAACCCACCTGTGGTACTGCAAGAAATGCCCTGAATCTAGTACCCCAACACCCTGTGGTACTGCAAGAAATGCCCTGAATCTAGTACCCCAACACCCTGTGGTACTGCAAGAAATGCCCTGAATCTAGTACCCCAACACCCTGTGGTACTGCAAGAAATGCCCTGAATCCAGTAACCCAACACCCTGTGATACTGCAAGAAATGCCCTGAATCCAGTACCCCAACATCCTATGATACTTCAAGAAATGCCCTGAATCCAGTTCCCCTACACCCTGTGACACTGCAAGAAATGCCCTGAATCCAGTACCCCAACATCCTATGATACTTCAAGAAATGCCCTGAATCCAGTTCCCCTACACCCTGTGACACTGCAAGAAATGCCCTGAATCCAGTACCCCAACACCCTGTGGTACTGCAAGAAATGCCCTGAATCCAGTAACCCAACACCCTGTGACACTGCAAGAAATGCCCTGAATCCAGTAACCCAACACCCTGTGGTACTGCAAGAAATGCCCTGAATCTAGTACCCCAACACCCTGTGGTACTGCAAGAAATGCCCTGAATCTAGTAACCCAACACCCTGTGGTACTGCAAGA